CTCTTCACCTTATTCCTTTACATCAGGGTCTCTTACCAAACCTGCAGCTAGACTGGTAGTCCACAAACTTGGGCGATCCTCCTGTCTCTGCCAGCCCACAGTGCTTGGCCTATAAGCTATTTCCCGCTAAGCTATCTCCACAGCCCAATTCCTTTCTCTTAGTTTCTGTTAGTTTAGTTCTAGGTCACCCCAATCTTTTAAAATAGACATCATGTCAAATTCCTATGAATATTTAACATGTTTTCTACTAAAGCCTTTTAAGCCCCTTCTCCACGTGTTGCTTTTAGCTACAGGCGTTCAAGCGTGCATTTATGTCAGTAAGTGAATCCAGGCCTGAGAGAGATAATCATAGGTTTAGAGAAATGCAAACACTGCATGTTTTAAGTTCCCCACTGTTAGGAACCTTTTTACCCTACTTTGTAAATATTTTTAAATGTATATTTATATTTTTTTTGCATTTCTGTACAGGTGTATATGTATCTGGGTGTGTGAGTGTGTGAGTGTGTGAGTGTGTGTGTGTGTGTGTGTGTGTGTGTAGGCCAGAGGTTCAAGTTAAGTGTCTTCCTCTGTTGTACTCTATCTTGTTTTCTTTGGGACAGCATCTCTACCTGAGCTCAGCGCTCGCTGATTGGCTGATCTGTTTGTCATTGTTCCAGCCTTGCTAGGATCACAGGCACATGCCACCTCACCTGACGTTTCACACGGGTTCTGTATCTGAGCTCAGACCATTGTCCTGGTATGCAGGCACTTTACAACTGAGCCATCTCCCTAGCCTACTTTCTGACTACTTAAGTAAGACTTTACAGAGGCAATCTTTTTTCTTTTTTCTTTTTCTTTTTCTTCTTCTTCTTTTTTTTTTTGTTTTTTATTTTTTGTTTTGTTTTGTTTTTTGGCATGCAGTAAGAAGAAAGAAATGCTGTTAGCAGTTTTTTTTGGTTTTTTGGGTTTTTTTATTTAAAGGCTGAAGAGGTGGCTCGGTGGGTAAAAAGCACTTGCCATGCAAATCTAATGACCTGAGTCCAGTCTCTGGAACCTCCCTTTAAAAAGAAAAACAAAACAACATGCTTTTATGGCACACATCTGTAATCTCTGTACTTCTGTGTTGATGTGGAAAGTAGAAACAGGAAAATCCCCCAGAAACTTGAGGACCAGCATGGGGACATGCTACTCCAACCTAGCAGAAATGACGACAGTGCAGGCCCAGCCTCGGCACAGTGGAAGGAAATGTCCCCAGTGAGAGTTGTCCTCTGACACCCACTCTTAAGTTTTAAAATGATTTATGGAGATTGTAACTATAAAAGTGTTAGATTCTAAAATATATTTTTCTACCCTTTTCCATGTAAGTACATTAAAGTAAGTCTTTTGGATTTCATAGTTTGATTTGATAATATAGCTATATTAATTCCTTTTCTTGGTAAGGACGCTCAGCATTGCTACTTTCTATTTCAGTCTCAAAGACGTAATTACTAACGGGAATTTCAGTACAAGCTGTAAGTGTAGCTAAGATTTTCCTATTTGCTGCTGTTTGCTGGGAGAGTTTAGCTTCTGAAGGGAGCTTTAACTTCTTTAAATTGTTGCTTGTTGAGTGGCAGCCTTGAGATTCAGTTCAGAAACTTGTGTGTTTAATTTTTTACCTTATGCCTTAATTCCATAGGTTGTTTGGTGTTGTTGAGGTTTTGGATTTTTACTAGGTTACAGGAACTTGAGCAGTATCTAGTTGAAATAGTCAAAATGGGTGTCAGTTCTCCAAATACCCATGTTTGGGGGGTTGAACTGGAAACTGAACTGAGAGCTATGGCCCTGCCAAGTAACACTCCTAATAGGTCTACCTCTGCACCTCCAGCCCAGATAGACCATTTTATTCTCTTGACAGCATGCACTATTTCCTAATTCACTTGTACGAATAGGATATTTTTCTTTGTCTGAGGGCAGAGACTCACTGTGTAGCCTTGGCTGTCCTGAAAGTTGCTATGTATATCAAACTAGTCTTAAACTCATAGAGTTCCTCCTGTCTCTGCCTCCTAAATGCTGGGATTAAAGGCATGCACCACCTTAAATGTCTGACCTACTAAGAGTGTTAACACATGTATTAGCTCAGTCTGACCATAGAAAATGTATTAGAAGATATAGAGATATGACATTATAAAACACTTTAAAGTTAACCAGGGCTGGCACACCTAACTCTCTTCCTGCTGTTTTGAGTGATACCTTCATGTAGACTTATTAGGAGACTTTACTAGTTTCCCTGCAGTTCAGTGATGGAACCACAGTCTGGGGGAGTGGAGAACGAGAAGTGGAGTATGGCTTTATATTATTAGCACACTGGGCTTTGCACTAGGGCTGGGGGTGTCGTGGAATACTTCCCTGGCATGTGTGAAGCCCTGGCTCGTTCCACAGACTCTATTAGGAAAACAGACAAGACCTGTCAGTGTTTATGTGGCTGCTTCAGCTCCCTGGTTTCGGGACTGATCTTTCAGGTCAACTGAAATAGATGTGAACCAAGTAGACCTTGAAGAAAAGGTTAACTCTTCTGAGTTATTTGCTTTATTGTAGTTTATGAGAATCTAGTATTAGTGATGGTACACACACTGAAACCATTAGGGAGGGTGACTGAGAGAAGCTGAGGCTAAAGAAATGAATGAGTTTATTATTACCAGTTCAGGCTGCCAAAAACAATAGTAAAAGATAAAAGAATGAATTTGAGCTGGTGCAATGGCTTGCAATGGCAGATTTTTCTGGGCTTCATGAATTGACAGAACCCATAGATGATTATTTTACTGATTGACTTTAACACTGCGTTTCTTTGACAGGATATCTACAGGGAAATGGGTTTTGGCCATTATGAAGAAGAAGAAAGCTGTTGGGAGAAACAGAAGAATGAAAAGAGAGACCGACGTCAGAACCGCAGTCGTAGCCGATCTCGAGAAAGGGATGGTCACTATAGCAACAGCCACAAACCCAAGTACCAGACAGATCCTTACGAGAGGGAAAAGAGCAGAAAGAGGGACCGAAGCAGAAGTCCAAAGAAATCCAAAGATAAAGAAAAATCCAAGTATAGATGAGCAGAGAGGAAGCAGACTGAATGTAGCAGGTCTGCTCCGGCCTGACTTGGGGTGTGCAGGCGACTGCAGTTTCTGTGATAACATTGTTGCCTTTCAGGTTACACTTGATGGTGTGGGGCTCTGGAAGAAAGGGAGGCGTTTGGTGTATACGTTTTTATACAAATTTTATTGTTATACATACATGGAAACATTAATATTTAACATCTTTCATAGTTTCAGTCTTTTAAAAATGAATCATTTCATATCACAGAAGTCCATAAACTTGTATATAAGACATAAAACCTAGAAAATGAAAGTGTTTGTGTACCTGGCTGCAACATAAGAGATAAAGTGTCACTCACTATGAAAGTTTCATGTGTCCCTTCTTGCAGGAATTATTCTGAGTTGTGTTTGCCCTGCTGTTAATATTGTATGTTTTTGAATTTTATACAAATGGCACAATGTATGTTTGCTTTTGTGACTTGTTTTTTTAAGAGTCCATTTATTTTTATTGTTATGTAGTTGTGAATATAATGCAGTTGATCTGTTGATGGACTTTTAGGTTGGTTGTTAGTGTTTGCTATCTAAGGAATGCCACTGTGAACATTTCAACTGGGCATGGCACTATCTGGCCATGTGGTTTGAGTTTTTGATGCATTTATAGTTATGGTTGTTGTAATTTACCTGGTATGTGAATTTGTATGGGGGCAGGGATAGCCACAAGAGTACCAGTTTACCATACAGCTTAGAACACATTTGTTCCATTATTGTACATATTTTGACCACCAATAGAAAAGGCTTAATTACATCAGAAGCTAGTATCTTTTCTGGGGAGATGGCTCAGTTAGTACAGTGCTTCTTCACCAGCACAGGACTGAGTTCAGATCCTCCCCACATACCCAGGTGTGCCGGTGCTTACGAGTAATCCAGCAGTGGGGAGGCAGGAGCACTGGGGAGACAGGAGCAGGCGAAGCTCCAGGTAGTGAGAACCCTTTTCTCAGTGAGAGTAACTGAGGAAGACACTTGGCACTGACCTCTTGCCTCCACAGACTGTACAGACTGGTGTGCGCACACACTCACACTCACACACACACACACACACACACTCAAACAGCTGTCCTGCATACAGAACTGTAGGTGTTGCTTACACAGATGAGTCTAAAACGTTCTAGAAGAGTGAGCAAGAGACAAGCCGGGAGCAGTGAGGAGTTGCCCACTGACAGCCGAGACTCGATGTAAGAGCACTGGAGTATTGGAATGGGAACTTTATGCACCAAGCGTTTCAAGGAAAACATATGTTTGTTTGCAAAGTATAAGAAGCTGTTTTATTTTTCCTATGTATTTGACAGTAATTTTATATGCTTATGGGGTTATAATATGTTTGATATATGTTCATATTCTGGAACAAGTAAATCCATTTACAAATATCTGTCAGCTCACTTTTTTCTTTCTTTTTGCCAAAGTTTGCTCTCAGGAATTTTTGAAATCTAATCATTATTATTAATTGTAGCTTGCACGCCCTACAATACTTTACAGACATGCCTTCTTTTCATTTAGTAAAAACCATATACTCTTTGACCCAAACCTCCTTTATTTTTCATCACTATGCCCTAGGGCAGTGCTTCTCAACCTTCCTATGCGACGCTTCAGTTCCTGTTGGGTGACCCCCAACCATAAAATTATTAATCTTGGTGCTATTATGAATTGTAAATATCTGTGTTTACCAATAGTCTTAGGCAACCCCTGTGAAGAGCTCATTTGGCTCCCAAATGGATTGTGACCCACAGGTTGAGAACCACTGCCCTGGGGCCTGAAGTCATTTCGTTCCTGAGTTTGACTTTTGTAGACTCCCATAAAAATGAGATCACATAGAATTTATGTTTCTGTTCCTGGCTTATATCACTCAGTATTGTCTTCCAGGTTCATCCATGTTGCAAAAGAGCTTCCTTCCTAAAGGATAAGTAATGCCCTGTTGTATATATATGACATGTTTTCTCCATATTGTGTTGATAGGCAAGTGTATCTAGCCTGTGTCTGCGCTGTTGTGATTAGTGTGGCATTGTAGCTGAGCTGGGAGCACAGACCGCAATTTGGTAAGTGAATTGGAACCTATTAGCCTGCTGGATCCATAGTAGTACTACTGTCTTCAGGGTTCGTCTCCCCAAAATATCTCTACTGTTTTCCGTAATGACTATAATTCACATTCCCAAAGACAATATATGAGCATTTCTTTTGAGAAGCTGTGGTTTTCACAAGGTGATTTTTTTTCCTTATTTTATTTTATTTTAATGGGGTTATTTATAACCCAGCCTGGCCTCAAACCTAGCTGAGTATGATGCTAAACTTCTGATCCTCCTGTCAAACCTTCAGAGAGCTGGTATTATAAATGTGTACCACCAGGCCTATTTTATGTGGTTTTTGAGGACTGACCCTAAGGCTTTGTGGGTGTTAGACAAGCCCTCTATCAACTGAGTTCCATTCCCAGCTACTTCACCATGTGATTTTTGTTGGTTTTTGAGACTGTGTGTCCTTGGTTGGCCTGGAACTCACTATGTAGTCCAGGCCCTTGGCCTTGAACTCATAAGAGATGTGCCTGTCTCTGCCTTCTGAATGCTGGGGTTAAGGGTATGCACCACTATGCCCAGCCTCACTAGGTGATTTTATTATAAGTTTAATCATAACATTGTGTTGTACTTTGATTAGATACAGGGCAGACTTAGATCTGGATTACTACTGCTTATATCTGGGTAAAGTGACCCATAATTCCTGTCTCAGATTTGGCTTCTTTAGGTGTTAAGTGGACTACCTTTTTCCTTTAGGTGCTGGCACTGAACAGAGGGCCTTGTGCATGCTGAGAACCTTCTACCTCTCATTGCATTCGACGGAATCAGTCTTCAGTGATTTTCCATTGACTTTTGAAAAAAAAAAGTATATTTTGCATTAAAATAGTTACTTCAGACCCCTAATTGTTTGTTAATACAACTTCACTTTAGGCTGTTAATCTTTTACCAGTTGAATTTTCAAAGACCTTGGCCAGAACTTTACTAGTTCTTTAGTAGGCTGAGTGAGAACCTACATGTTGTTTCATCAGTTGTACCAGTTCCTTTAATAAACTGCATTTTTTGGTCAGTGGAAACTTAATCTCAGGTTGACATTTCATACCTTGAAGGTTGAGTCACAAAGAATACATAACAGATAGTAAAATCGAAATCTCAGAAGCTTTACCTTTCAGTGGCTGTTGCTAGGAGACCATGCTTTGATGGGAAATTTGAGAGAAGGTTGTTTCCTGTTAGATGAACATGTGGAGATCCCCTTCGTTTTTAAAACTGTCTCCATTTCAAAGCAAATACCATCAGTTATTCTTGCTGATCTGTATTCCCCCGTGTTTGTAACTCAGGTCTGGGAAATGAGAGTGATGCCCAGAGTTTGCAGTTTTATGTCTTGCTTCTTCTCCTATCCCCTGTTCATTTGAGCAGGCAGATGGGTGGGCTGTTGAATGTTTTCATTGTGCAATTTAAAAATGGTAGTTCAAGGGCTGTGAGGTGCCTCATCCAGTAAAGGCATATGTCACCAAGCCTGAATTTGACCCCTGGGCCCTAAATGTTGTCCTGTGACTTCCACAACCACACTGGCACATGAGCAACCAGACACACACTAAATATATGTAATGATTTTTTTTTTTTTGAGACAAGGTTTTTCTGGCTGTACCGGAACTTGCTCAGTAGACCAGGCTGGCCTCGAATACAAAGATCAGACTGCCTTTACCTTCTGAGTTGTTCTGAGATTAAAGGTGTTTGCCACTGCCCAGCCAACTTAATGATTTTTTAAAAATCTGTGTTGATGGAATTTACTTTGGATTGCTGGGAAAGCTAACACACAAGAAAGATTTCACACACAGTAACATACCAGCAATCGTGTGTATAAAAAGAGAAGTTGGGGAACGTTGCTAGAATTCTAGAACTCTACCACAGTGACCCTTGGTTCCTGAAAACAGTTTTGCTTTGTACTGTTTCCTTGGTGCGGAGAGACTTTGGTTTACAGTTGGGAAGCTTGAGTCAGAAACAAAGGTTTGTGCCAGCTGTAGGAGCAGAAAGCTAAGGGAGCATGGGGTGATGGGCTGATCAAAAAGAGAAAGGAAGGGCCAAAAGACAGGAGGGGGTGGGAAACAAGTCCAGAAAGCCTACACTGGATTCCCAGGCATTAGAGAAGTCAAGCATGTTCCGAAGGAAGAAATGCCACAGTGTAGCCAAGGAAAATGGGAACTGGTTATAAGTACTCCAACTGGGAGGTACCACAGCCCCCCCCCCCCCGTTGCTTTGAACATAATTCATCCCATATCCATGCCTCATGCAACCCCAAACCAGACTTAATCCAAGTCACTTTCCCAGAGGAGGTGCTGTGGAAGCCGAGGCATGGATTTGAGACATAGAGTGGGCCTCCCATCAATAATAATAATAATAATAAAAATCATAAAAAGTCTACAGTCTCTGTTGCACAGTTACTGCAGAGAGCAAGCAATCCAAGGGTCTGGAATGACTACAGATGGATGTGGTTTGGGTAAAACTTTGATACAATGGAGGCAGGATCAGTTAACACGGTCTCCAGTCCCTCAGTGGGCCACCTCATACTGTCTTGGGCGGAGCTGCCCTGTCCAGGTCATCTCTACACACACGGCATGCAGCATCGAGCCTTGCCTTACTGAAATCTCAGCGAATGGCAGATATTTTTAGCTTTAGGATTGTTTTACTGTTACATTGATAATCATCTACTATTCACAAATCAAAAGCACAGATTCATAGTCTTTCCCCTTGCATGATTACAGGAAATTACACAATATGTCTCACCACGATCTTGGTTTGTTTGACAGCCTGTGTTATATCCCGTGTCCACTTCATAGCCTCTACATGGGTGGACACATGATGCCACAACACACAGTAGCCGGTTGAAGGTGCCAATGATTCTTGCTAGCTTCTGGTGTGTTCCTTGGCTTACAGCTACATCACTTTAAGCTTGGCCTCTGTCTTCATATGGCCTTTACCCTGCATCTCTGTGTCTCAGTCTCCCCCTTGTCGAATAAAGATTCGTTTACATCAGGGCCCACTCAGGGCTGTACAACTCCATCTTACCTGGGTGACTTTTACAGAGATAATTTCCAAATAAAGGTATGTTCACAGATAAAAGAAGTTAGAACTCGAACATGTTTTAGGACAGGGGTCAGAGTGAGGCCATGGTAAGCTTGGTACCTTTCTTGTGGGGCGAGTATTGTGGAGCTCAAGAAAAGCTTCTGTAGCAATTTTGGCCAGAGGCCAGCAGAGGATACTGGGATGAGCCTTGGAACCTATGTTTCTAAGCAGTGTGGCCAGGGCTCAGATGTAATCGCAAGCCGGTGCCATTGACTTAGGTTCCCAGGGTTTCATGTAGCATGTGCAACACCTCTCATCGTTGCCTGTGCTCATCCTAGTTCCCCCGTTAGTGACCATCAGTCCTTGCGTCTTCTGGTTCATAGCATCTCTTAGGAATAGAGGTACTATCATGGACCACCTCACATTTCCCTTGGGTCTCTCTGAAAATCTAAGAGTCTCTGGATTCTAAGAAAGGCAGGTCTATGCCGGGCGGTGGTGGCGCACGCCTTTAATCCCAGCACTTGGGAGGCAGAGGCAGGCAGATTTCTGAGGCCAGCCTGATCTACAGAGTGAGTTCCAGGACAGCCAGAGCTACACAGAGAAACCCTGTCTAGAAAAACCAAAAAAAAAGAAAGAAAGAAAGGCAGGTCCTCCAGAGTCAAGAGTGGTCTGTTAAAGCTATGCATTACTCCACTCATGATGGGGTGACCCCCCCAACCATAAAATCATTTTCATTGCTACTTCATAACTGCATTTTTGCTAATGTTTTGAATCATAATGTACATCAGTTATGCAGGATATTTGTCTCCCGTGAAAGGGTTGTTGAAGCCCGAAAGGGGTCAAGACCCACGTGTTGAGAACCACTGGTATAGTAGGGGAGCGAATTCAGTAGCTGGGATTATACAAAGAAAATAGAAAGCTACAGAGTGCCCTGCAGGACCATTGTTTCTGTCCCATGTTCCTCACAAGGCTGAGAAAGGCTGGCTGATCTTTGGAAGGCTAGACATTCCCACATTCGGATCTGGCCAACGGCCCTGCACTGGAGTAGATAATCAGTTTTCACAAGCTGTGGTATCTGATGGCCCAGAAATGAAAAGATAAAAAAAAGTTTTTTCCTAAACCTTAAGCAAACAGCCTGTGTGTGAGCGTACATAATAATTAATAATTGAACTGTTTTTTATTTTATATGTATGACTGTTTTGCCTGTATGCATATGTGTATGTATGCATGTATGAATGTATGTTCAGAAGAGAGGATCAAATCTTCTGAAACTAGACTTATAGATATTTGCGAGGTGCCCTAGAGGTGGTAGAAGTTGAACCCTGGTCACCTCCGAGAGCAGCAATTACTCTAAGCAGCTCAGCCACCTTTCCAGCCCCTCATTCTGTGCGGGGGATGAGCACACACACTCCTGTTGTTGACTGCGATGGTGGTTTTGCTAGTCTCTGTGACATTGTTTTGCTTTAGAAACTTGGTCTCAGTGTGTAGCCTTAGCTGACCTGGAACTCTCTGTAAACCTACTAACCTCCACCTCACAGAGAGTCTCCTTCCTGCTTCTGCCTCCTGAGTGCGGGATTAAAGATGTGTTCCACAACACCCTGTTTGTCTCTGCAATTTGCCAGAGTTTTCTAGGTGCTGGGCTTTGTCACGGCCAATTGTGGTAAGCTTATTTCCGTCATAGATTATGTTTAAGTCAGGTGTGGAGTTACACACTCATGGGCTAGGGCTTTAGATGCTGGGACAGGAGGGGACTCAAAACCAAAGCAGGGCTGCTGAGATAGGAACGCCACTAAAAGTGTTTGCTATGCAAGTCTGACAACCTGAGTTTCATCCCCGGAGCCCACATAAAAAGCCAGATGTGGTGGTACACATCTGTAATCCCAGCACCCCTAAAGTGGAGATGGGAGGCAGAGACAGGAGAATAGCCTGGAATTGCTACCAGCTGTCCTGGGGGTATGCTTTAAACAGCAGAAACAACAAGATCAACAAGATAGAGGGGAAGACTGCCAAGGCCTCCACAGACATGGCGTGGCACGCATGTACACACACACACACGCACACCAAACAGTAAAACACTCAGGATTGGGGCATAAAGATCATGAGTTCAAAGCTAGTCTAAGATATATAGGGAGACTGTCAGTCATCGAAAGCCACAGATTTTTGAGTTGGGAACGGAGGCCTGACATTGAACCCTTGTACCACAGACATACAAAAAAAATAAGTGGACTTATACTCAAAACAGTAATAGCCGTTGACTGAGCATTTCACATAGACCAGATGCTTTTTATAAGCACATGTGTTTCTTTTTAAAGCATTTTGTAAATGTCTTTATTGGGCAGTGCTAAGGATTGAGCCCGGGGCTTTGCACAGGGAAGCTAGCACTCTGTCACTGAGATGCAGTCTCGGCGTTACTTGGGCTCATTTATTCTCACACTGTCTTTGTCAGATAAGGTTAAGCAAGACGACTCCTCATTTACATAGAAAGAGACTGAAGCATAGATGTCCATTGGCTTGAGATTACACAGATGAATGAATAGCAGAGTGGTCTGTGTGGCTTCAAGTCCATGACACCAAACTACAAAACAGAAACCAGATTCTTCCTCAGCACATGCATCAAAATAAACTTTAGATTATGATTCAAAGCCTTATTTAAATGACAAAATACAAGACCAGTGGGATGATTCAGCTGGAAAAAATGCCTGCTCCTGAGCTGACATCAGAGTGAGTTCAAACCCTGAGACCCACATTGTAGAAGAGAACAGTTTCTGTAAACTGTCTTCTGACTTTCATACATGAGTATAAACACACGCACACACACACACACACACATGTAATGATAAAAACCTTTATAGCTTGAGAGAAAACTGTCATTTCAATCCCAGGGTAAAGACGATACAAAGTGTAAATTATGAAGGAAAAGCCAATACATTTACTGAAAAGTAAATGTCTGCACACCTCAAAACATGATAAACAAGTTAAAAGTTGCATACAAAACTGAACAGGTATCTACAGCATACACAAAACACACAAGGCCTCAATAACATGAACGATAATATGAACCAAAAGGTAAAGGAACACCATAAGATAACAGGCCACTGTGGGGGAACTGTTCTTACAGCTCCTCGCAGTAAGGGAAGAAAAGCTGAGGTGGTTTTGACAAACACTTTCTCATGTGTGAGTTTGGCAAAAAGCAGAATGGCTCAGAAACCCACAAGTCGGCAGACTGTTTGGAGACTGGAGACTCCCATCTGCCTCTGGTGAACACATTCATGGAAAGCCGAGAAGAGTTCTTTCTGTCCCGCGACTTTATCCCCACTGTATTATGCAGTTTAAGGTCACTCAGGAAACACCCTCTAAGTCTGGTGTCCACTGGAGCTGTAGATGGAAGGAAGCAGGCAATCGAGAATCCTGGGCTTCCAGGGCTCTGTGTTCGTGTTACCTACCTGCATGTTATCCTCCCTCTGTGGTCAGGGTCTGTCCACACATACCTACACCCTATGGGGCCACTTCCTAATGGCACAGATCTCAGTGTTACCAAAAAAGCAGGAAATAGACAGAAATAGCCTTGGGGTAGACCAGGCAGAAGAGGAAAGGGAGAGAGGCTTGCTCAGGACTCAGCAACTGTGTTTGTGGGGTGTAGACCCATGGCCAATCACCTATGCAAGGCTACAATCTCCTCTCCTTTTCTTATTTGGTTGACTGATGTTCGTGAGGCTGAAGATGGAGTCCCAGACTCTTCATGTGCAAGCGGCTGCCCTTTCTTCTCCTGGTTTAGGCAGAACTCTGTTTGGAGTGAATGACACTGTAACTGTTTCTCCTTCCAATGGATAACAAGTCTCCCAAACCGATGGGACTTCTTTCCTAGGCCAACAGTGATGGCAGCTGAAGCACAATGGGTGGACCCAGTCCAGGTTTAAAGGGATCATATGGTAGGCAGTTCTCTCAACAAAGACAACTGAATGTCAAGTTTTCCAGCCAAAACGGTATCTCCAGGAATTAAGGCACTGAAATATTTTGGCCACGAGACACGGTTTCACTGTGTAGCCTTGGCTATCCTAGAACTCAATTTGTAGACCAGGTTGACCTTGAACTCAGAAATCTGCCTGCTTCTTCCTTCCAAGTGCTGGAACTAAAGACATGTACCACCATTGCCCTGCTGACACCATCATTTTTGTTCATGTGTGTGCATCTGTGTGTGAAAGCATGCACATGTATGGAGGAGGTAGCTCTCCAGGCACAGTCTACTAATAATTTTTAAGATTTAGTGTGTGTGTGTGTGTGTATGTTTGAGTTTTCGCATATGTGAGTATATATGTATATGCATGCACATATGTATGTGCATGTACATGTATATGTGCATGTGTATGTGCATGTGCATATGTGTGTGTATGTATGTATTATGTATGTATGTATGTATATTGGTACACATGTGACATGACAAGAGTATAGGTCACAGGACAACTTAAGGGAGCCATTCTCTCTTTCCATTATGTTGGTCCTGTGGACAGAACTCAAGGCACCAGGCTTGGCAGTAGGTACGTCTACCTGCTGACCCATCTGGCCACCCACCATCATCTTTTCTGAGATATAATTTGACGCTTCTCACTTGGCCTCATACTCTTCAGAAGTGCTGTTGACCCAGGGATGGCCACACAGCAGAATTCTGTTTGTTTGTTTGTTTGCTTGCTTGCTTGTTTGTTTGTTTTTTAAGACAGGGTTTCTCAGCCAGGTGGTGGTGCCACACACCTTTAATCCCAGCACTTGGCAGGCAGAGGCAGGCAGATTTCTGAGTTCGAGAGTTCGAGGCTAGCCTGGTCTACAGAGTGAGTTCCAGGACAGCCAGGGCTACACAGAGGAACCCTGTCTCGAAAAAAAAACAAAAAACAAAACAAAACAAAAAAACAAAAACAAAAAAACAACAAAAAAAGACAGGGTTTTTCTGTGTAGCCCTGGCTGTCTTGGAACTTGCTCTGTAGACAAAGCTGGCCTTTGTCTACAAACTCACAGAGGCCTGCCTTTACCTCCTGAATGCTGGGATTAAAGGCATGTGCCACCACCTCCCAACCCCAGAATTCTTTTAAAATGTCTATTCCATTTAGTTACTTATGTGTGTACATGTGCATGAGCATGTGTGGGCATGTGTGTACTCGGTCACTGTGTATGTCAAGGTCAGAGGACAGCTTGCAGGAATGAGTTCTCTCTCTCCACATGTGGGTCCTAGGAATTACAGGTTCCCAGCCTCGGCCATGGGTGCCTTTAACTGCTGCAGAATCTCAATGGCCTACAAATCCAGATGTTTATATCCCACATCCCGGGTCCCTCTTGATAGTCTTCCTAGAGCTTCTAAGACCAGTTGTCTTGGACCTAAGAGAATAGCTTTCAAGGCTAGGCATGGTAGTTCACACCTTTAATCTCAGCACTGGGGAGGCTGACTGGTAGGCGGACTGAGTTCAAGGCCAGCCTAAGCATAGCATGTTCCAACGACAACCTAGACTACATACAAAGACTATGTTTCAAAAGACATAAAAGAAGGGCTGGAGAGATGACTCAGTTGTTAAGAGTGTTTGTTGTGCAAACAGGAGGACCCGAGTTCTAATTTCCATCACCCGGGTGAAAGCCAGGCCATTCTTACTTCCTCAGAACCAAGTCCTGTGTTCAGACCTCATCTTGACTCCCCGGCTATGTCCTTGAGCAAGTCATTGTTAGGGGTGTTATCTGGTGGGAGGTGGGCTGCTATGAAATTCTTTTTTGCATTGCTGTGAAACACCCCAAATTCAGGAAACCGACTCCTGAGTCTGTTCTCTGTCCTTGCTCTATGGATAGCGGCTGTGTGATGCATTGTGTAGGCTTGGGATCAGACTTGACCTCAGTTAGAGAAAGCTGTCACTCCACGTAGGAAGACAGTAAAGAGAGATGCTGAGCCTCTTTTCACAGGGGGTCATTGTGTGTTGGGACTCCGGGCTTTGTGAATGACTGGTAGAATCCTCCCAGTCCAAGTTCCATGAGCTACTTGTAGGAGTCTTTGTCCTTTCTGCTTCCCCTGACAGTCTGTGGTCTGGGCATCACATCCCCTAGGAGCATCTTCAAGCAGATGGGCTTCCCAGCCACCTGGAGTGGGAACTTAGCAGCTGTTCTCACCCTCCAACTCTTGGTGCTTTTTCCGCTTGGACTCCTGGCTGTCCCGGGAGGAGGAGGTGTTTGTTTTGCACAGTTGCTGTACTTTGATTTGACTGGGGCGGAGGCGTGAACTTCCTACCTCTCGCTGCCTTCTTCCTTTTTTTTTTTCTTCACACAAAGTGTAAGTACCTTTTGCAGCTGAACGTGACTTGCACGCAGGAAGTGGAGCGTAGGGATGGATCGGCTTCTAGCAGGGGTGTGGCCTGGGCTCTCTGCCCTCCTCTGACTCCAGCAACTCCTGAGGGATTGGAGCACTCCCTAGCTGAAAAGAGAGGGTCACTGTGGAGGCTCAGGCAGCTGGGCCAAGTCTGCTGTGAGAGCCTGAGGGACACACCCTGCTGGTGAGTGCTTGTGCCCTGCTATCAGTTAACGTGGCAGGCACAGTACAGACTTCAGTCAAGGGTATGGGAGAAGGGCATGCTAGAGCCAGGTGTGTGAGTGAGGACTGCCCTGAACACTCTGGCTTCTCACACCTGAGAAGCTGTATTAGGTGTTCAAATTACGGAAATTCGGTAAGCGTCTTTAACTGCCTTTCAATGCAGTGTCTGCTTAATTTTAGCTAGGATTGTTATGTGTGTCGGGGGAGAATGGGCATTAATCCCACCAAGTGAAGTAAACCTTCCTTCCATCTGCTGGCTCGGTGACAATGCTGAATGGTGTGGAGCTCAGGAGTGGACATTGCTTTACTCTTTCCAGGCTCACTAAAGTGTCTACCAGTCTAGACATTGGTTTGGCCGTGTCTAGTTTCTAGGTTTGAGAGAGATCGGGAGCTTTGGCAGCAGCCTCAGAGTTGATGAAGAGATTGACCGGTCTTAGCCTGATTTGGCTAATTCTTTGTAGGACTAGAAACCCACGCTTTGTCACCCAAGATAAGGGAGTTTTCTTCCAGGCCAAACGTAGCTAATATGGACCTGGCACACAGATAAGACCATGGCTGTAAATGCTTCCAGCATACCTGTAAGTTACCTATAGCAGCAGCGAGAAGTGGGGGGGGGGGTAAGTTTGAGGAGGAAACAAGAGTCCAAGCCAGAACGCTCATGTTCATAGATAGCAGCTTGAGTGGCAGTAGCCAAAAGACAGCTGAAGTAGCCCATATGAGTGAACACATACAACATATGGATTATGATTCATAATTCACATGGGTTATGATTTTGCCTCAAACAGAAAGAATATTCCGACACACACCACAGCATGGTTGGAGCTTGAGGCCATTACACTAAGTAAAACACATAGTGTCAGAGGATACGTGCTATGTGATTCCACTCCTGTTGGCCAAATTCATGGAGGCAGCAGAAAGAGGCTGCTAGCTAGGGCCAGGGTGGTGGCGAGGGGCTCAGGGGCATGGATTTCAAGGGATGGAGAGGTCTGGAGATGGGTGAACAAATAGTCCCATACAGAACTATGAGCTGTATGGTTTAAATGGGGCCTTGTGCATGCCAGGCAAGCACCCTGCTATTAAAATACAGGCCTAGCCCCTTACAATATGTTTTAAAATTACAAATTCTAAAATTATTATTAATATTAAATTATTAATATTAAATTTTAAAAAGGCAGAAGTGAGCAGGAAAAACAATCAGCCCTGTGGGATGAAATCTTAGATCCTCTGTGACTTCCTTAAATTCTGACAAAACCAAACCAGAACAAATCCCTCCACTGAGGGACTGGAAATCTGTGCTGACTCACCAAACTTCATGGAGTTGTTGAGAAGCTAGGACCAGGCTGACTGTCTCCTCACTGTTGTGATTAACTTCATGTGTCCTGTGGGCCAGGACAGGGTACCTAATGAGTCACTTGGGGAATCAGTGACATGGGTTTGCACTACAGGTGGCCACCGGAGGGGGCTCTCTGGTCTGGATGACAAATATCACCGTTTAGTAGCTCTCAGCACCATAGGCAAGTCACTAAAGGCTCTTTCCCTCCGTTTCCTCACATAAACCACCACATGAGGAACAGACTTGCACTTTCCACCTCAAAAGGAGGTTGGGGTTTTCACACTGTAGGAGGCAGCCCCTCATAAAGAGGCAGTGCTGTACACAGGGGGACTGCTTCTCTGACATCTTCATCCTTCCCTTTCCTCTCGTGTCAGTCTCTCCCCAGAGGCTCTTCCAGGCAGAGATTGCAGACTTTCCACGTGGTTATCTTCAAACCTGGGTTTGCTGCCTTTAGAAGGGACACAGGACAGTTGTGTCTGCCATTAGTCCTAAGGGAGGGAGGATCGGGAGGCTGACCCTTCTGAGGTCTCATGATGAAATCTGTAAGATTTTGTCACTAATTTTCTGGGCTGTCTGGGACTTCCAGTCAAGATTGAGGAAGAAAATTTAGATGAAGCTGTTCAGACCCTAAGATTTTAAAAATAGCAAGGTCATACTTAAGCAACTGAGAGCTAACAGCTCAGAGACGAGCTCATCAAAGTGGAGAGGCTTCTGAGAGGAGGCCCCTACCCCTGGTTCCTCCCTTATTTAGAAATCATTTGTGTTAAAAGGAACTAAAGTTGCTGTTAAGGTCCCGAGGGAGAATTATTTTCTGAAGTAGGTGAATTCTCCGTTAGTTTTGTAACTAACAGCTGTCTAAAAACAGCTGTCTGGTGGCACACGTACCTTTTCAAAGTCTTCTCAGAAAAGACTCTGTGGCAGATGACTTGCTGGCTCCCTAGAAAGAAGCAGCCAGAGGGAAGGCCATACAGCTGCCTGCCTGTTCACCCCGTCTGGCACAAGTCTTTTTGTTTTAGGTGTTCTTGCTTTTGTCCCACCTAGTAGTAGTTACAAAATAAACAGAGGGCCCCTCACAGAGAAGCTCCTTTGAGGCTGAAGGGAAGCCACTCAGAGGAGATTTAATTTTTTCATTTCTGCAATCGGTATGCGCTACCTCTGTACTGAGCACATGACTCAAAATAACAAGTTATTTCTGGAACTTATTAGTGTCACTCTTTGCTACTTACTAGCTATGTAGCCTCTGTTTCCCCAGTCATGAAAGGAGAAGGTTTACATCCAGACTGTTTTCTCAAGAGAAACAGGAAGTTTAAGTAAGAGTTCATAAAAATGATATAGAAACCATGAAAAGCCACAGTGGAAACATGTATGTTTCTTTAATTTTGTTTTAGATTTTCAAGACAGGGTTTTCTTTGTGTGTGTAGCCCTGACTGTCCTGTTACTCACTCTGTAGACCAGGCTGGCCTAGAACTCACAGAGATTTGTGTGCCTCTGTCTCCTGAGTGCTGGAATTAAAGGCATGCACCACCACACCCAGCTGGGAACATGAATGTTTCTATCTCCTCTGTTATCTTTCTGTTCTTCCTTTCTCTCTGAAATAAGTGCAGGAGTGCATAGTACTGAGGGGTGAAATGCTCATGGAAGTGTCCAGAAAATGTAACAGTAGACTTAGCCTGTGAAGAGAACAGGTGTTCCAGATAGAGGAGGAGCCTTGAGGGGCAGTGAGTGATCCCCCACTTAAGTGTGAGGTGAGGGTCCTTTTCCTATGTGAAGTTTGGTCCAGAGTTGGACTCTAGCCCTAGGTCCCACAAGAAGAACTGCTCACTAGACATAGAGAGGCGAGGCTGGACCAGGGTCACGCAGTTCAGGGATAGGGGGTAGAGTAGGGCTGTGAGGTCCTGCTTCTCCTGTGGATGAGTTTTGACCTTTACTCTGTGCAGGGTGGAGGAATGTGGAAGTTTGGAGAAACACTGAATCTTTGAGTAGTGGTTTAGCATTATCGATGTTGGAGTGGGGTGGGGCCAACTGCATGTTGAAATGGTGGTGTCCACTCAGAAGGCCTCACCATCTTCTGAGGACTTCTCTGGCCTTTCCTGACACCATTTTTATGTTTATTTATTGATTCTGTGTGGATAACCTACATAAGTTGATTCTCTCAGGGGACCAGACTCAGCTCATTAGACTTGATGGAGATCACCTTTGCCTGATGGGCCTGGACTGTCCTTCCATATCTTTCAAAAGGAGATACATCATTCCTCATCTGTGCCTTGAAAGCACATTTTTCATATACATATATATATGTATATATATATATGTATATATATATATGATTTATTTATGTTTATGAGTATTTTGCCTACATGTATGTATGTGCACCGAGTGAATGCTTGGTACCCTTAGAGGCCAGAAGAAAGCATCAGATTGCCTGGAACTGGAATGAGAGATGGTTGTGAGCCACCATGTAGCTGCTGGGAACTGAACTCAGTTACCTTGCAAGATCGCTTAAGAGCTTTTAACTGTTGCGACCTCTCTCTAGCTCCAGGAAGCACATTTTTCTAACCAATTGTTAGACATACACACAGACATACACACACACATATACACACACAGGCACACACAGGCACACACATAGACATACACACACATACACACACAGACATACACAGACATACACACATATACACACATACATATACACACAGAGACATATACATGGGCATACACACACACACAGACACACACACAGACATAGACACACACATACGTAGACATACAGACAAATACATGGGCATACACACACAGATACACACACAGACACATATACATAGACACACATAGACATAGACATACATACACACAGACACACATTCAAATGTAAACAAAAAGCCAAACCCCAAACAACCAATGATGCTTATTTTGGGTTTATGACTTAAATTTTTTGGGCTGCTTTCCAGAGTAGATTAGGAGCAGGTTGAGATTAGATCATGTTTTGTTTTGTTTTGTTTTGTTTCTGTGGAGCCAGTGTGAGTATATAATCAGTGAGCTTGCTCCATGGAACGAGAGGATGGGACAGTGTTAGTGTGTGTGGAGGTTAGGGTGGGTACTCAAGGTGTCCAGGAAACAGAGTTAATGACCGGCTGGATGTGGAAGTCAGGAATCAAAGGGGACATCGGAGTGTCTCCTTTGGGGCCTCTAGAGGATGCTGTTCTTTGAGATTTACAACTCAAGCAAAAACATGTGGGAAGAGAGGAAAACCCCAGCTTAGACCATCAGAGGAAAACCCCGGCCCACCATCCATTAAAAATAAAACTATTGAACTAGCTATGCCAGGTGTCGCTAAGAGACGGTGACTCTGAGGCAGACGGGCCAGGATGGTCGAGTCTCTTGAGAAGACTAAATGATAATCGCCGTGAGGGAGTGCAAGGGTGATGTGCTGTGGCAGATGGCGTGGCCAAGTTCTTGTTAGGTCTGTAGAGTCCCTAATGGTTCCTCTGACTGGTATGTGCACTGAAATTTAAAGTGCCAAACCAAAACAGAGGAAAGCACATCGTTTGAAAACATTCTGGAATAGTTAGATACTCGGAAGAGAGTCATTTCACTCTGAGTAAGGGCTAGCTGAGCCACTGGTAGGTAGCGGGGTGGCCGAGGTCAGAGCCACAGGGTGACACAGCTGTTCTGCCTGCTCAGGAACTTGGCATCCTTTCTGTAGTCACTAGGGGCTGGGGTAGATGGAAATATGGTCAGATTTTTGTTAAAAATACAATTCTGGGTCCAAGCCAGAGAGCTTGTGCAGAGGTGAAGTGGGAGTGTGCGTGTTAGGGCAGCAGTAGAGGTCTCTCTGTCTAAAAGGTTGTATTTGAAACGTTCTGCGCCTGGCAGGCTCTGATCTAGTTAGTTTTGTCCCTGTTCCTGCCCTGGAAGGACAGGTCTTCAAAAGCATGTGACAGCTAAGTGGGAGGCTAGCACAGACGCTCACATGCTGTCAAGGATTGACAGAAGAATGGGTTGGAACGGTGAGGAATCCATAGCGTTGGGAAGGGGGCGGGGCAGTGAAAGGAGCATGCACGAGAGTCTTCAGTAAGCAGCATCTGTAACAGTGAAAAATAGAAGATGGACTAAATTTGCATCATTCGGCATGTGGTTAACCCTAAAGACCACCATTCATTCATTCATTCATTCATTCGCCATCAAGTTTGATTCTGGGCATACAGCAGCCAGATCAAGGAAACTGGCTAGACAAGATGTTCAAGGTGAGTTTTAAAGGAAAAAGGCAAGCTGCTAGCTAATGATACGTACAGCATGGCATCGTGCATGCAGCAATAAGCCAGAGACAATCCTAAGACCACATCTGTGTGACTCTATTAAATGCAGGTAGGTGCACAGAGAAAATGCTGGAGTCGTGCAGACAAACGGCCTGCATAGGAGGCTCTGGAGGTGTTCTAGACGTCCTTTCTACTTCTGTGTCCTTTGACTCCTTTATGGTTACTATGTCTACATGATCACCTCTGCCTTTTTAAATGTGGTGTCAAGTTTCTGTGACTAGCAGAGAGTCTCAGTGTGTCCCAATATTCCCATTTCCTCCCTTTGAACACAACTGTCCTTGCCACCCCAACACAGGGAGGCGTGACAGGCCATGCTGGATGTCCCCAGGGGAAGAGCCAAATATGAGTCCAGATTGCTTATTTTTAAGGTTAAGTGTGAGCAGAATCAGTACATTGAGGTAGTGTGCAGAGTTGGGTTCCTGGGTAGCCTTGCCTTTCTGGGAGGGGCTCCCTTCTGTGAGTGTTCTCTTGTGGGTGAGCCAGCAGCTTATACTGCCTGCCAGGATTTCTACCACCAGGACCGCTGTAGCCATCTTGGGAAGTGAGGGATGACACAATGGAAAGTCATTGTGTCCTGGAAGCTGCAAGTTCGGGATCAAGGAGTCAACAATGTTGGTTCCTTCCCAGGTCTCACTCCCTAACCTGCTCACAACCACAGAGGTCCGTCCCTCCATCCTCCTAAGCTCATTTGTATGTGTGCACACATGTGTCTAAAGTGTCTTGTCTCTTCTTGTAGAGCATCTGCTGTAGGGTGAAACTGTGCCCCCAACGACCTGATTTGAAAGGTTCTTTCTCCAAATACTGTGACACCCGGAGGTATTGGTGCTAACCACTTCAGTCCAGGAATCTGAGTGGATGGCATCTTGCTCCTAACAGAGTCTCTAAAAAGGTTTGCCTGTTTTGGTGTCCTACTCGGCTCTTGCCACCCTGGCTCCTGGCTAGCTTTCCCTGTACAGGCACACAGGAACAAAGACATCAGAGAATACACTAAAAGAGGCAGGATTGCTCTGGTGGCCTGTCAGCCACACCAAGCAACTGACAATTTCCAAGGGGATCTGGAGCCACTTGATTTCCTGATAGATAACACCACGAGGGAGGAGCATGCGCAGCACGCTCTTCACGCCCGATGGCCTGGCTGCCAGGCTGCTCAGCAAACACCTGACTACTGCTTTTTCTTTGCAGCTCATACATGTGAAGCTCTACCAGGAGGAAGCTCGGGGCAGGAGCCAGACGAGGCAACAGTTGGCACGATATGGAGCGTCGGAGCAAGATGGAATTTTTCCAGAAACTGGGCTACAGCCAGGAGGACGTGGTCAGGGTGCTGGGCAAACTGGGTGACAGTGCCTTGGTCAATGACGTGCTACAAGAGTTGATCCAGACCGGCAGCCGCCCAAGGGGCCAGGAGGATCCAGCCAACGGCACCGGGGTAGTGCTGATGCCCCGGGGATGCTGTGGGGTCCGAGACTCTGCCCCACAGGGCCTGGGACCAGGCCTAGAAGAGGCTGGCGGAGATCCAGCCAGCTTCCTGCGGCCCATAGTGATCGATGGCAGCAATGTGGCTATGAGGTAGCATCTTTGGTTTCCTTCATCTTTTTACTGAGTGCTGGGGCCAGAGACCTTGTTATCTGGAGTCCTGGGAAACATTTTTCTCTCTGTGGTTTGACTCAAAGAGTTTTAAGACCAATGGATGAGTTTTTAAGAACTATTGTAGAAAATAATAGGTTTCCTGATGACATAGTCATACGTGTATGTCACATGCACTGCCCATGGGGGAGGGGGAAGGGGCGAGGGGAAATCAAGCCTTGCTACCAAAGTCGCTACTGTTCTCAATAAGCAAAGGCATGGGTATCTAGACCGACTCTATAACCCAAATACTGTGAAGAGGGTTTCGGTAAAGACGGTTGTGAATGTGTGTCGATGCTATGCTTGATTAAGATTCATCTGGGTATATACCCAGAGGCGGTATAGCTACATCAAATGCTAGTTCTAATTTTAGTTTGTTAGGTTCTTTTTTCTCTCTCTCTTTCTTTCCATCTTTCTTTCTTCCTTTTCCTCTTTCTTTCTTTCTTTCTTTCTTTCTTTCTTTCTTTCTTTCTTTCTTTCTTTCCTTTAGATCAGACTTTCAAACCTTGTTCTATATCTTGGAAGCTGTGTGAACGAGGCAAATTGCTTTCTGGTTCTGTGACACGGAATCAACCCTTCCTAGAGGGGTGGCTAGAAAAAGTTCCTGCTGTAGCGAGCTCAGCAAGTTGATGCTGACCATGCTCCCAGGAAGAGCAGCTTTCTTCAGAAGGAAGGAAGCCAGTGATAGGCTGGTGCCCAGGGTTAGATGCTGGCAAAGAGGGCTCCTTCTTTGGAGTATGTCCCCAGCCAGCTGTGTTATTCTGGAAAGGCGAGAATACTCGGTTCCTCTCTGTGCAGAGCAGGCCAGTAGATCTCCACTGACTCCCTTTGGGTGTGAGAACAAGATGAGAAGTGCTTAGGTAGTGTTCAAAGCCCTCTGCTTGTGGCGGGTGGTGAAGCAAGGCTGCAGTTTCCATGTTAAGGCTGAAAGGAGAGTCCCTAGGGTCTCTCCTCCCACCTTGAGCTGCAGATAGGGCCAGGTCAGTCTTTGAAACTTGGCCTCTTCGTTGTGTGTAGGGATTCCAGCTTGATGGCATGTGTGGTTATTGTGCCTGACTTGGCAAAGCTCTGCTGTGGCCCAGTTTCCCAAGATTCCACGCTCAGTGTTGGGTGAGGAGGGCATTGCGCAAACTTGGCTTAGTTACAGGCAGGCAGAGGGCAGAGTCATGGGAAATAGCTCACTCGCAGCTATAAATACTCGTACTTCCCCTTTTAAAAGCTGAGTAGGAATTCCGAAAAGCAGTTATCAGCGGCTCCAAACGTGTCAACAAGCATCCGAAGCTCTCCCCCCAACCCCCCCAAGGGATTTGAACTCACTTTGAATTTGGCACTCTAGGACAGAAGTTTGGAATGGTCCAGCCCAGTGGTTGTCCCCACATGCCCAGCATGGTGTGCCTTAAGAGCATATGCTCTCTCTCTCTCTCTTTTTTTTAATCTGCTTGGTTTGCCGCCACAAGGGTAGAAGGGGTGATGGAGCCTCTGGCTCCTGCCAGGGACTGTGCATTCGAGCCCCCTTTCGGCAGCAGATGGGAAACCCATGACATCTTGCTCTCTGAGGTGTTAAAGAGACAATCCTTACTTACGCCATTTCAATTGCTGTGGTGAGACACCATGAGGAAAAATAATTCAGGAAGGAAAGGTTTAATTGGCTTTCAGGTTACAGTCCATCATCAGGAGAAGCCAAAGTAGAAATTCAGGGCAGGAACCTGGAGACAGGAACTGAAACAGAGGCCAAGGAGGAATTCTATTTACTGGTCTGTTCTTCACAGCTTCCTCAGCCTGCTTTCTAAAAAACACACACCAGGACCCCTTACCCAGGATGACAATATCCACAATGGTCTGAACCCTCCACTTCAATCTCTAATTAAGAAAATGCCCCCATAAACTTGAGTATAAACCAGTGTGATAGAGGCATTTTTTAAATTGTGGTTTCCCCCAGTCAGGTGACTCTACCTTGTCAAGTTGAGAGTAAACTATCCAGGACAGGGGCTTGAAAGAATCCAGTGGCCAGTGAGATGGCTCAGCTGATAAAGACACTTGTTGCCAAATCTGATGACCTGAGTTCTCTCCCTGAGACCACATGATGGAAGGAAAAATGGAGAGTCATGCTAGCTGTCCTCTGACCTTTCACCAATCAGCAAGTGTAAATAATAATAATAATAATAATAATAATAAAAAATGTTCAATATGTTCCAACAGCCTTAGAAAGTGCAGGGGAAGAGGTGCTTGGCTTCTGCGTGGTCTGGACAAAGCTTGCCAGGCAGTAATTGAAAGAGGGTCTGAATGTAAGGTGTCACCACACAAATCAAAGCCCATGTTAGCCCTCAAGATGGCATGAGTTACCCGAGTTTGGGAGGAAATACCAGAATGGTCATATCGCAAACAGACTACTTCAGGATGGTGTTTTCTCCCTGGGGATCAGAGAACACTGTTAAAAAGGATGCTAGAGACCTTGTGAGGGAGGGGTTATTTTTGGTGGGGGAGTGGAGGGAACTCTGCTGCAGTCTGGAATTCAAACTGAAACCACACCTTCTATCTGTACATGACTGCATGACTATGAAGTGTCCTAGGTCAATCCAGTCAGTACTAGCACTGCTACCCCATCCTTCCCACTGTGGTCAACTTTGTCTTTCCATACTTAATCTGTGTGGATTACAAACAGAAGCCAGACTCACTGCAAAGAATGTGTCAAAGTCTAAGTGTTTTCCTATACTTTCTGTCTACGAAATAACCCCCCCCCAAACACACACACACACAGAACCCTACCCCTCTTTGCTCCTTGAATCCTAGGGAAAAGCACAAATAATATAACAATTCCTTGACTGTAGACTGTAATTAATTTCTTCCAAAGGCCAAGTTCTAAGAGCACAGAGGAGGTGTATGCATATTCTCTGTCCCTCTACTGTGCCCTCCAGGGGGAGTTTGTTTCCAGGGCCAACCAAATCCTTAGCCATGAAAAAGATGACCACAGAGAGCCCCCCCTTTATAGAAAATTCAGGGTGGAAACTCAAACTGGTGTCTCATTACCTACAGAACACAGATTTTTAAAAAAAATTATTTTATGCACATTGGTGCTTTGACTGCATGTACATCTGTGTCAGGGTGTTGGAGCCCCAGGAACAGGAGTTACAGGCCATTGTGAACTTCCATGTAGGTGCTGGGAATTGAATTCCAGTTCTCTAGAAGAGCAGTCAGTGCTCTTAACTGCTGAGCCATCTCTCCAGTTCCTGAACACAAAATTTTATTAACCCCAGAAAGATGCTCTTAGGAGGTCCCTCTCCTCTGAGGTTTACAGGATCCCAGACATTGCTGCCCTCTGCTTTGAGAGGTGAGGCTGCTGTCTGCTTCTGGGGGAACAGGGTAGAGCTTGAAGCCTTGGTGTCTTTTTATCCCTAATCTATAACAAGGGTAGCCACTGTTGGCAGGGACCACTTCCACAACTGGCGATCCTTCCATCCTCTGGAGCCTGTGGTGGCCCATGCCTTTGCTTATAGAAAACAGTAGCCTGACTTTTGGTAGCAAGGCTTGCTCCCCCTCCACCCCCCCCAACTGTTGGGAAGTTATGTTCCAGATGTTCCCTATAGGCTAACACCTGTTGTCCTTTGATGGCTCATAACAACATGCTGTCATATGCTTTTGTTTCTGGAGCACAGAAGTCTGAGAGGAGCGTTTGAGTTAAAATCCAGGTGTCTGTAGAATTGATGGAGAATCTACTTTTTTTTTATTTTGTTTTTCCTGCAGGCCTGGATCTGGAGCCCATCTACTTTCAAAGCCATGAATGGCTTGAAATGATATGTCTTATGGCATATGTGTGCACATAATATTGCTTCTCTGCAGATAAGACGTATAGCTTTTAATAAATAATTAAAGGGTCTGCAGTCCCCAAAGCGTTAGGGATCCCTGACATACAACGAGAAGTTACAGATAATACACCAAGTCATCTGCCCTGTGCTGATATAGAATGTTCAAGTAGGGTCATCTGTCCTTGTATCTGAACCTGCCAGCTGCTGGGGAAGGGACCTGATGGGTTTTGAGAAGGTCAGCACTCGACTCGGGTTAGACCCAGTTTCCAGTGGTGCATTCCCAACTGTACTGTACTTCAGGCTGTTTAGACCAAAGCTGTTGGTGATGGCTGAGTCCAGATGAACTGACCGGGGTCCTGGATTGAAGGCTTTTATGAGCAAAGGGGATGTATCTGCTCAGGATACATTGGAGTTTGAGATTTACGGAACACTTTCTGATGGTGATTCATTATACAGAAGGGAACTGAGTGTGTGGCTCTACCCCATAAGAAACTTTAAAAGCCTTCTGTTTCCTCATTTCAACAACACAAGGGCCCTTTGGGTTCCTCCACGAGGTACTGGTAGCTTATTTGTCATTCTATAAGGAGCAAGTCCAATAAAGGATAATCCTGAGTTGTAATGCTGTACGATGCTCATTGTACCAGGCCCTGGGCACCATGCCATGCCCTGGGGAGCCAGGCTTCAGATGCTCCCACAGTCCCCCTCATTTCTTACGCCAACATGGGAAAACAGAAGGCCAGAGTCAGAGGACAGAGTAGTTCTGTGCCTGGAAGTCCAAGTTCTGAGCACTTGTTCTCAAGGCTGTCCACGGTAATTGTGAGGGCGGAAAGTTCTGGAGTTCATCATTGTTGTGGAAGTCACTTGCTACGTGTGGCTACGGAAACCTTGGAATGTGGTTAGTACCACAGAGGAGCCGAGTGTTCAAAGTCACTTCCTTTTACTTCATCGGAATTAATTGATTAATGGCTACACAAGTTAACTAAGTACATGTCCAGCTTTTCAGTTCGACCAAATGAGGAGTCTCTATGTGTTCCAGACCATGTTCTTTTTTTAAGAAGCTGGACTAAGTAGACTTTTTTTGGTGGAGGGCAGGTTCGAGACAGGGATTCTCTGTGTAGCCTTCACTGTTCTAGAACTTGT